ATAACAAATTTTCTCAATATAGTCTCAATCATAAAAGCTTTTCTTTTTTTCCTTTTTATGTTTCAAACCAGCAATGGGCTCAGACCACATCCTCATGATTCCACCTCCAGGGGCCCAGGGGTGGGAAGGAGGGTGTTTACCCTAATGGGATTTTTGACCTAGGAAGGACACTGACCTTTGTCCTTCTCTGCAAGGAATCTAAGGACTGCAGACAGCAGGGTCTGATCTAGTAAAGTCCTGAGATGTGTCCCCCTGTCCATGCAGACAGACTTGTCAGGGCACCTAGGCCTAAAGCCAGACCCTGGGGACTAGGCCTGGGGCCTCCTCTGTCTAGCTCCTTTGCTCTTGTCTTGCTCCAAGTTTTAGGCTTTTCACCACCCTCCATGGAGCAGCCCCACTCAGAAAACAGCCCTCAGAATGAAGGGCCAAGGGTGCAGGCCTATTGTCATTAGGGCCTCCCTGCAGCTGCTTTGCCCGACTCGTGCCTTCTTGGCTCTATCTTGCTGCTGTTCCCAGAGGCTGGGGCTTTGCACAAGCCCTCAGTGCTGAGAGGAGCGGGGGCACAGTGGGTGGAGTTGACTTGGAGGCACTTTTCACCAGTTCCCACACTGTGCAACCGGGACGCCCTTTTCAAAACAGGGAAATGTTTGTTTCTGCTTGTCTATCTACATGCTCGCTGTGGATAAAAACACACAAGTAAAATAGAAAGGTATACTGCTGAGGGTGAAAGTCACACACAGAAATCTCACTGTGTTTTAGACAGTGAAATGGAAATGGAATGTTGGCTCTCAGGCCTTGCTCCCATGACTCAAGGTGAGGCTGAGGCCCTTACCTCCTTGCTCTTACTTCACTGTCAACAAAACATCTGACCTGCATGGGGGGTGGTTGTTAAAAACAGAGGAATGATGGGTAGACAAAAGCAAAGTACTTTAGGTCTATTTTGGTTTCTTTTAAGCTAAGCACAGGTTTCTCTGGAAAGGACGGAGCTGGCTGTTCTCCCTGTGTGGAAACAATAGCTCAGCAAAGCACTGGGTTTTCTCGAGTTCCCTGACCTCCAGCCTCGCTCCTGATTCTTGATGACAAAACACATTCAATGCCTCTGATTGATTTAGTGGGGAAACTGCACCGCTGGAGGATGGAACGCAGCCCATCCTGCCTGCAATCTGATGGCTCACTGTGACTGTCTTCTGCTTTGAGAAAAGAGCAGGTTGGTTGCAATGGGCCAGCAGCTTAGGTTGGAGGCTGTGACAGTCCACTGCCTTAGTTCTCAGTCCTGGCTTTGATCTGAGCCCTTTGTCGGCTGCTGCCTATCCCACCCCCGTCCCTGCATGCATCCTGCCTTCTGTCATAGTCACTGACACTCCCAAGTGTGTGTTTGTTCTCTTGCTCACTTTGCCGCACCTTTCGCTCACGGTTACCAAACGATCCACGTTTTCTGGTCTACTTGCACGTTGCAGGATGAGGTCCCCATGCACATTCCAGCAGGTGGAGGGTTATTCTGCTGTTTTGGATCATAGCAGTGCCTGGAAGGCCCTCCACTCTCCAAGCCCCACATGTAAACTAATGCTCATCACCAGCAGGACAGTTTAGTGGCACTTGGCTTTACAGAAACCCCTGTACTCATGTCTTGGCTGAGTTACTCTGAGAGACTCTCGGGGTAGGCTGTCATCAATACCCTTCCCATTTTCACACTTGAAACAGACCAGGTCTAATGCATCTCCTGGGATTCATGACACTTGTTTTCAGGATTAAAGCATCTTATTTACAGGTTTTGTGGAAAGCTGATGTCCTTGTATCTGAAGGACTGGAGTCACTGGGAAGTGGAACTGTGGGCCCAGGTGGCACCAACCATACGCTGGACTCACCCGGGTGAGAAATACTAGTTCTTCAATTTTCAGCCTGTCATTAATCACAGATGTTCACTACCTTCCATAGACCTGGAGCTTTTCTCCTACATGTTCGGGCTTCAAAAGAACCATCCAAGACTCATGGAATGGGATTTCTCTATTTTTATTTATTTATTTTATTTTTTTTGAGACAGAGTCTCACTTTGTCACCCTGGGTAGAGTGCTGTGGTGTCATAGCTCACAGAAACTTCAAACTCTTGGGGTCAAGCAATCCTCTTGCCTCAGCCTCTCAAGTAACTGGGACAACATGTGGCTATTTTTAGAGATGGAGTCTTGCTGTTGCTCAGGTCGACTTTGAACTCCTGAGCTCAAGCAATCTGCCCATCTTGGCCTCCCAGAGTGCTAGGATTACAAGCATGAGCCACAGCTCCCCATCCTGAGGTTTCTCTTAAGTGTTGTGGTGCTACAAAGTGATTCTAGCCCATTCTTGAGCCTTCAGACTGTGAACTAGGTTGTAACCAGCCCCTTTCTGGTTTTTACATCAATGAGAAGTATCCTCAAGAATGAATCCTCTTCCAATTCCTCACATCAGAAGATGGGGAAACTGAGGACAGAGAAGGGCAGAGGTTTTGCTGGCGTCTGCAGGGGTTGGTGCTGGGCTGAAGACTGGGACCTGTATGTCACCAGCCTCAGTCCAGGACAGGGCCCCTGGGTGGCCTCTGGGTTAGAATTCACACCTGTAAAATGTAGAGGGTGTTTTACTCTGCGGTTTTGGGGAGAGGGTGAGTCTTGTTCTGCTTTGTCAGATGGAATTTTGAACAATTGCTTCATAGTATTCATTCATCCTGTACAAATTTATTTAGGGCCCGCCGAGGGCTGGAAGTGAATCACCAGAGGAGACTTGGGAGAGAATATTGTTTGAGATCCTTAAATCTGGTTGGTTTTGTTTTGTTTTTACTTTTGAGGCAGAGTCTTGCTCTGTTGCCCAGATTGGAGTGCAATGGTGTCATCATAGCTCATGGCAACCTCAAACTCCTGGGCTCAAGTGATCCTCCTGCCTCAGCCTCCTGTAAACCTGGGACTACAAGTGCCTGCCACCACACCCAGATGATTTTTCTGTTTTTTACAGACACTGGGTCTCATTCTTGCTCAGGCTGGTCTCAACCCCCTGGCCTCAAGTGATCTTCCCATCTTGGCTTCCCAGAGTGCTAGGATTAGGCATGAGCCACCACACCTGGCCCCAAATCTAGTTAGTTTTAAGCTGTTGTCAGAGGAGTTGCAAATCCTGAATTCCTCTATTCCTGCTCCCCTTGATCTGGTAGGTTTGGGTGGAATCTGGGCATCCTTAGTTTTAAACAGTTTCCCAGATTCTGACACCTGCCAGGGTTGGACTTAATTTTTTGACTGCCCTTTGAGGCAGGTAGTATTATCCCAGTATTATAGATGAGGAAATTAAGAGTGAGCTAGATAAAAGATTGACCAAAACCAGAGATGGAAAGTGATAACAGCCAAACAATCCAGCTGCCGGACATCAACGCAGGGAGAAGGAGCCCCTTTGCCTTCAGCGCTGTGTAACGGCCTCTGTGCGTTCACTAGACATTCAGTTCATACGAGGCAGGCTGGGTAGGCCGCTTTCTGCTTAGTATTCTGGGCTGCACGCGCCACAGTTCTCCACACATTGTAAGTAAGCCAATTTGTTAGAGAAATAAGGCAATGCAAGAGGCTTCCTCCATGCACACAAATCTAGACTAACAGTTGTTTGCGCAATGCAGCTATGTCAAAATAAGAATAAACTCTTACTATGGAGAAGTGGGGAGAAAATCAAAACTAAAAACGTTAAGAATAGACTGCTCGGAAAATAAGATCGAGTAAACCAAACCTGTAATCGATGAAATTTTTTTCACTTAGTTTTCTATTTAAAAAAGGGAGAAAATGTGACTGACACTGTGGAAGATACTACGTGCATGAAGAGGATTATTCTCTTTTGGAATATTATTAAGGTTCTTTCGGAAGATTTTGCCACCTTTCCAAAATCTGCAAGAAACAAGGTGGTCGATTCTTTTGATGTCAGAAGCATGTAGCTCCACTTATAATAATAACAAGTTTTCTCAAAATTAACTAAATCAACAATGGTTCATTTGCAGGATTGACTTCAGTAACATGCATCTCGGATCTCCAGAACAAACCGCAGGAAACTAGCGAGAGTTGAATTACGGCAACGTAGGAAACCAGGGCGGGGACTTTCTCCACTGCTTCCTGGGCAGCACTGCGAGAACGCTCTAGGAGTTTGGCCTGTAGGGCACGCCGTACGTCGCTATGCATTCTGGGCCTTGGCAATATGGCGTCCTCCTTGATGTGCTGATGAGAAGAGTTTCAGGGCAGCTCCAAGCCAGAGGGCAGAATTCCCCTAACCTTGCAAGCCCACGTTATCCGTTTTCTCCGCGGGCTGTGTCTCCTGTTTTTCAGGATTCATTCTGAGGTGGGAGAGAACAACGGACTGAAGGGCAGGACCAGCCAGGCCGCGCGGACCCGGGGCTGAGGAACCGGCTGCGGGCGAGCACGATGGGCCGGTCCTGGCTCTGGTTGCAGCAGCTCAGGCGAGTGCGGGATCCGCAGGGCTGAGAGTGGCTGGATAAGACCCGAGACTCTCAGAACCTATTTTTGTCGTCCAGAGACCTCAATCCTGTTGTTCCAATTGTCGAACCAGCATCAAGAGCGGGCGGCCTGCTTGTCCCGGATCTGTTGAGTGGTTGGACGCCGAAAGCAGGGTCATCGTGAGGCCTGAAGTCGCTCACGCCTTTGACAGCTCCGATCGCAGCCCCTTCTGAAACATACAGCCTCAGAAGCAGGCAGTGGCTTGGGATCAGGGGGTGTGTGTCTGCGTGGAGCTTCTTGGGCTGCCCGGTTTCCCAGCGGCTCTCCCAAACCCCGGACTTTCCGCACAGAGTTAGAGATAAGGATCTCAGACTTTTGGCAGAGTAAGGGTCTCCGTACACTCTTCATCCGTTTCTTTTCTTTCCTTTTTCTTTCTTTCTTTCTTTTTTTTGCTATTTTTTATTTCACTAATTCTGGTACACACTAGTTTACTAGTTTTTAAGGCTGGAGGTTCTCGAGCGCTTGCTGCCAAGGACTCCCCCACCCCCACCCCCTCTGATGGAGTCCGAAATGCTGCAGTCGCCTCTTCTGGGACTCGGGGAAGAAGATGAAGCGGACCTTACAGACTGGAACCTGCCTTTGGCTTTTATGAAAAAGAGGCACTGTGAGAAAATTGAAGGCTCCAAATCCTTAGCTCAGAGCTGGAGAATGAAGGATCGGGTAAGTCAGTTCTGATGGCACCTCTTGGACTTGGTAGTTTGTCCAGCGAAGAAAGTTTAGAACCAGAAGAGTGTCCTTGGGAAAGCGTCAGTATTTTTTTCCCAGCAACATGTTGTAAGTCAACCAAAAAACAAAAACTATTTTATGCTCCCGTTTTGCTTGAAAATAGGAAAGGCTGTTTTGGTTAGTTCTTACAGGTATTTACATGATGTTTGGTTTACTTATTTCCACTGACACTTAGTGGAAGGGCAAGGTGGGATATGACGCTTAAACACGTGGTTATTCTACTATTGTGGTTAGTCTGCTTTGCCAAGCTGGGTGAAGTGCAGAAGACTGACATAGTATGCTAGGAAACAAGATTACTGGAAAATGTTCAGCTAGTAACAAATTCTTGAAAAGTTATTTTAAAGTTACAGTGAACTTCATCCTAGTTTTGTAAACAAATTGTCTTGAAGCCAGACTTTCCTCCTTTTATGTGGCATCTTGTTGCTATAACTTGAGGTAGAATTTCTTCAATAGTGGAGTTAGGGTATGATGTGTTGGGACTTGGGTCCAAGTTTTAGGGGGTTCTTATGGTGTTGGAGTGTGGACAGTGACTCACAAACAACTGATAGGAAAGAAAACAGCTGAATTTCATTGAATCTGCCCTCCATCAGCCATCTATTTTCTGGTCTCCAAAGCAAAAGTGCAGTATTCTGTCTCAACTATGCACACTTATAATTTGTCTTTTTGCAATTCATTTTCTCTTTCCAGGCTGCTTTTATTTATTTGAACATTATAATGGCATAAGAGGAGAAGTTGGCGTTGTAATGAGTGATTTGCACTAGATTTATGTATATGTTTATAGAAGATTATCGTTTTTTTTAGTATATGATGTTGAAACAAATAAGAATTACTTATGCTGCCAATCAGTAATTGTGATTTAGTTATGGATTTAGCTTGTTATAAAAGGTTAGGGAAATTTGTTTAATCCAAAAGCAGTTTAGGGAGTATAATACATAAATTGGTCATTGGCACAGGTTATATGAAGTCTGTGTCACGGACATCTTAAGTACTAATTATATAGTTGAAAGCTTTTGTGGTTGCAATACATATATGAAAAGAAATTGGGAAATGCTTGTGGCTCAGTGGGTAGGGCACTGGCCCCATATACTGAGGGTGGCAGGTTCAAATCCGGCCCCGGCCAAACTGCAACAAAAAATAGCTGGGCATTGTGGCGGGCACCTGTAGGGCCAGCTACCTGGGAGGCTGAGTCAAGAGAATTGCCTAAGCCCAGGAGTTGGAAGTTGCTGTGAGCTGTGATGCCACAGCACTGTACTGAGGGCAATAAAGTAAGACTCTGTCTCTTAAAAAAAAAAAAAAGAGAAATTTATTTTTATTTTTTCAAAAGGCAATATGTCAGTGATAGAAAAGAAATTTATTTTAAAGAAATTCTGTCTAATAATTTTTTTTTTTTTGGTATTTGGAAGGAAGTTTCTTTGCCATTGTTCTTTTGAAATGTGGTTTCTTCTGAATTTATGCTCAAACTGTTTGAGGCTCATTAATGGATATATTTTGACATTTTAATTTAAAGATTAGTTGTGAATGATCAACATTCCCTGATTAGTTCTTCACAGATTATTTAATTAATTAATTATTTTTTGAGACAGTCTCACTATGTGGCCCTTGGTAGAGTGCTGTGGCATCACAGCTCACAGCAACCTTAAACTCTTGGGCTTAAGTGATTCTCTTGCCTCAGCCTCCTGAGTAGCTGGCACTACAGGTGCCCTCCACAATGCCTGGCTATTTTTTTATTGCAGTTGTCATTGTTTAGCTGGCCTAGGCCACGTCCGAACTTGCCAGCCTAGGTGTACATGGCCAGCGCTCTACCCACTGAGCTACTGGCACCACTCAGCTCTTCACAGGTTATTAAGAGAAACAAAAGAGGCTGGGCACAGTGGCTCATGCCTGTAATCCCAGGGCTCTTGGAAGCCAAGGTGGGTGGATTATTTGGGCTCAGGAGTTTGAGACCAGCTTGAGCAAAATGAGATCTTGTCGCTACTAAAATTAGAAAAACTGGTGTAGAAAAACTAGTGGGGTGTGGTGGTGGGTGTCTGTAGTCTGCTCAGGAGGTTGAGACAGGAGGATCGCTTGAACTCAAGACTTTGAGGTTGCTGTGAGCTGTGATGCCACAGCACTCTAGCCAGTGCAACTGAGTGAGACTCTCAGAAAATAAAAATAAAAAAGAGAGCGAAACAAAAGTTCTATAAAACTTAGTAACTACTGAGAGGGCTACTTAGAAAAGAACTCGAGGAGAAAGTTTGAACTTTGCAAGTTGTTCAATGAAGAAAATCTGCAGCTAACATTTTTAGTTAATTCTGTAAGAGTCTGACATGCTAAAGAGCCCTTGTATCTCCTCAGATCAGACTTTGAGAGGATCTTTTCAGCACACCTTTACTAGGACAAAGCTTACAAATACAAACAAATGATAATAAGAGTTGGAAGGTTGCATGCATGAATGAAACAGGCCAAATTTAAGAAAAAGGCACAATTTGAAAATAAATGGCAGCTAACTTTTGACTCAATGGTAGATTTTTCTGGAAAGTGAGAATAGGGGAGCTCTGCAGAGTGTATGATATAAGCTAAAGGGGCACTAGGGCCTCATCAAACTCAAGCTCTCTCACTCTCTTTTTTCTTTGAAAAGCTAGATTTTTATTTTATTTTTCTGTGACAGAATCTTACTCACTTGCCCTGGGTAGAGTGCCATGGATTCACAGCTCACAGCAACCTCAAACTCTTGGGCTCAAGTGATCCTCTTGCTTCAGCCTCCTGAATAGCTCGGACTACAGGTGCCTGCCACAACACTGGGCTAGTTTTTCCATTTTTTTTAGTAGAGACAGGTTCTCATTCTTGCTCAGGCTGGTCTCAAACTTCTGAGCTCAAGCCATCTGCCTGCCTCGCCTTCCAGAGTGTTGGGATTAAAGGTGTGAGCCACCATGCCCAGCCCAGATTGTTGTTATTGTTGTTTTTTGTTTTTGTTTTTTTTGAGACAGAGCCTCAAGCTATCCCCCTTGGTTGGGTTGCCTTGGCTTGCCGCTCACAGCAACCTCCAACTCCTGGGCTCAAGCGAGTCTCCTGCCTCAGCCTCCGAAGTAGCTGGGACTACAGGCACCCGCCACAACGCCTGGCCATTTTTTGGTTGCAGCCATCATTGTTGTTTGGCAGGCCCGGGCTGGGGATTCGAACCCGCCACCTTAGGTGTATGTGGCTGGCGCCTTAGCTGCTTGAGCTACAGGTGCCGAGCCCAGATTGTTGTTTTAATGTGACATCATCAGATGTTTAAATAGTGGTACTTATTCAGATAAATTACAAAGCAATGCTCACAAATCTCATTTGTTGGGTGGTATTGACCGGTGAGTTTTCCACTTAGGCTCTGTAGTGGCAATGTAGGCAATCACTCTGACTCCAGAGATCTCATTCACCCAGTCTCGGCCAGGCTGTCCTATTCTCCTTGAGGTGGTCTCCAGTCTGATGGAGCGTCTTCAGTGGTTCTGTGCTAGGAGCTACAGCCACTACAAACTACAGTTCCGTTGTAGTTTCTTCCTCTGATTGCCCTGCACTTCCATATACTTTTACTTTGTATATATTTTAATGATTACTTATGGTAATTACTTATGGTATTTAGCAGCCTTGTTACATATTCTTAAAATTAGCGTCTTAACCACACCCCATGAAGTTTTCGTGCCACTCAGCATTTGGCTCCTTGAAGAGCTACAGCTCATGACCTCTCTTACTTGGGATTTCGACGATCTTTGTTTTGAATCTATCTTGGTTTATTATGCCACTTATGGTCACGTTTTAATTACCAAGTTATTGTGTGTTTAACGTTTTCGAATTTGTTTGTCGTTTTGTTAATTCTATGTATAGTGAATGATGCATGAATATATCAATAGTGCTCTTGGCTTGCAATTTTCAAGTAACTAGATCTTTGTAAGAATTATAGTTCAAAATGAAATCACTCACAGACGTTTGGCTAAAACAGATATGTATATGTTCCCCCATTTGTGTTTCCTGTGATACTTTACAGATAGCACAGCCTTCTTTTTCCCACCGGAAAGCGGGCAGGTGAGGGTAATTGGCTTCAGATGGATTTTTTGCCTGGAATGTGTGGGATGGGATCAGAGAAGCTGTCATTCTGAAAGAAACCATTGATGACACCATTGCAGCAGCGTAGGAAGGAGCCGAAACACAGGGGACTGAGAATTCCCCAAGAGGGGAGTTTTCCCATCACCTGGGATCCAGAGGTGGAGGGAGAAACGGTACCGAGAAATCCACAAGCAAAGCCTGTGCCTCCCTCCCGGAGGAAGAGACGGGTGTCTTTTAGCTTATAGAGGCAGAAAGGTGGAATTCACAAGAAAGAGTTTTTTTTTTTGACAGAATCTCACTATGTCACCCTGGGTAGAGTGCTGTGGCATCACAGCTCACAGCAACCTCAAACTCTTGGGCTTACGTGATTCTCTTGCCTCAGCCTCCCAAGTAGCTGGGACTACAGTCACCCACCACAATGCCTGGCTGTTTTTTGTTGCAGTTGTCGTATTTGTTTGTCAGGCCCAGGCTGGGTTCGAACCCACCAGCCTCCATGTATGTGTCTGGCGCTGTAGCCACTGTGCTATGGGTGCCGAGCCTCAAGAGGTTTTTATTAAGATTTTAGGATGTAGCCGGGCGTTGTGGCGGACGCCTGTGGTCCCAGCTACTTGGGAGGCGGAGGCAGGAGACTCGCTTGAGCCCAGGAGTTGGAGGTTGCTGTGAGCTGTAATGTCACGGTACTCTACCCAGGGGGACAGCTTGAGGCTCTGTCTCAAAAAAAAAAAAAAAAAAAAAAAGATTTTAGGATGTGTGTTTCCAGAACAAAGAAGCAAAGAGTTGATAGCTTCCTGACCCAGTCATACGAAATCACTAAAGTCACTAAATCATAGATAATTCTCTAGGGCAGCGGTTCTCAACCTGTGGATTGGGATTCA